AGATGGCACTAATAGTCTGACTTTATGATTCAGAGTTTCATCTTGAGAAAATTTAGTCTTTTAGTGAAAGTGTATTTTATAATAGCTTTAGAAAAAGAGATCTACCAGTGGATGGGATGAGTCCAAAATGTCCTCTGTTGGCTCACAAACTGCAGTTAGGCCTTCTGATTCTTTTTTTTTTTTTAAGATTTTATTTATTTGTGACAGAGAGAATGAGAGACAGAGAGCATGAGAGGGAGGAGGGTCAGAGGGAGAAGCAGACTCCCTGCTGAGCAGGGAGCCCGATGCGGGACTTGATCCCGGGACCCCAGGATCATGACCTGAGCTGAAGGCAGTCACTTAACCAACTGAGCCGCCCAGGCGCCCAGGCCTTCTGATTCTTGTCTCTTATTTCCCTGTTACCATGGAGCCTGAGGGAAGGTTACAGGAAGGTAATTATTGTCCTATTTCCTTTTCACAACTCCTCTTAGAGGGCCAGTGTCCCAAGGTCCTAGATGAGGGATGTAAGCCACAGTGGGGTTCAGTGGTGGGTATGTGGTGGGGCTGGGCATGCAGGACCTGGTTGGAGATGCCCAGCCTGAGTTGCCTGCAGGATCCTACACTCTGTCTTGGGTAGTAGCTCACAGAAATGACATCACCACAGGTAAATGAATAGGATTTTGTGTATGAACTTCATTTCCATTAAATATCCTCATTTGTTCGTATTCCTCTTGAATGCATGTTTTTGTTGCTGCCAACATTTGGGTCCTGTTTTATCAGGACCTTTGCATAAACATTTTCACTGGTATTACACTGATTTTAGGCAGTCTGTTATCTGTCTGGCTTTTTTTTTTTTTTTTCCATTTTCACTTTTTATTATTTTTCCACGCTGAAGATTTTATCCAAATCAGTCTTATTTGGCTAATAGAGTGATTATCTGATTTCTACTGTGTGTGTGTGTGTGTGTGTGTGTTTTAATCCTATTATCCCAGAAAACTTTGCTGCTTCTTATCCCTTTATCCATATTCTCACTATTTCAGTTCCATCTTTTTCCAACCACCCTTTGACTATATGGTAACAGAGAAGAGAGGAGAAAAACCGTAACTTCATTGCATTATGGGTATGCTGATAACATTAAACTCAGACTCTAATTTGTCACTTTTATGAAAAGGCAGAATTAGTTAAAATCATTTCAGCCTCGATTTGGAGGTAGAACTGGTCAAGATTACTTGGTTATCCACCCCCCCCCTTTTTTTTTATGTGACGCCTAATATATTCCAAAACTAGTGGAAAGAATATTGGAGAGAAAGTCTTGTGATGGCTCTTTTATCAGATCCGTTGCCTGAAGTTACTTGCCCTAAGCGTTCTTTTTCTCATTGTGATTATGAGGATAGCAGTAGTATGAGTGATGATGAGAATTATGTGAGCAAGTGAAACAATGTGTTCAGTGGAATGCCTAGGAGATGGGCAGAGCATGTTGCTTAAAATTAAAGGTTACTAGTTTCTTTGACTTTTTTCTTTAGATAGGCTAGAACATATTTCAGAATGTCAAAGGATATTGGTGTTGAGAAATGAACTGATTAAAAAAATCCGGCCTTTTTTTTTTTTTTGCAGATAAAGATAAGAAAAATGTACATTTTCTAAAAAGTAGAGGGTTGCCATTTGGTCAGGGTAAGGAAAGGAAGTCCACTACCATAATTTTTATTAGCCTTCATCTGAAAGCTTTAACTGATAGATAGGAGGTTTAAGTACTAGGAATAAGGTGACAAACATGTCACTTTTTGCTGGTTCCTGGAAGATCTAGGACAGTGAGTGGAATAACTGGTAGGATAGGTACTTGTATCTCCATATTCCAGATTACTCTTTTCCACCTTGGTACATACAGTTGCCTCTTAAATGTGATTGTGTGGATGTGCCAGGGCTGCTCAAACAGAACGTGTTTAAAACTGGACTGTTCATACCTGTTTCTCATTTGTTGCTGAATTAGATAAGCACCATACCATCATCATCTGCTGGGTTTAGGTTGCCCCGAGTGCCCTTTCTTTCTCCTTTGGTCTGCAGCTTCATACATACAAACATACACCCCACCGGTATTTACTGAATACCTGCGAGGTGTGTTCCAGGCCTTACTTTGGGGTGCTAAGGATATAATGATGAACAACGTATCTACATTTAACAGACTTGTTTTGTAATGGGGGGAGAAAGATAATTTATAGTATGTGAGGAGTAGGTGCTTTGGAGGCAAAAAAAAGGGGCAGAATGATGGTGTTAGGGAATACTGAGTGAGGACTGCTGTTCCATGTAAGGCAGTAAAGGAAAGCTCTTCCATTAATGTTGCTCAGGAGTCTTTGGCTGCCCTGTGGTACAGAGACAGCAGATGGTCAAGCCAGGAAGTGGGAGATGGGTTAGAGAGCAGTTGTGATGCAGGTGAGAAAGGATGGTGGGCTTGAGCAGAGGAAAAGTAGGAGCCAGGGGGATGGGGAGGAGTGCTTAGCTCAGGGAACATGTTGGAGTTAGAGCTGCCTGGATTGCTGGGTGGATTGGCTATGATTTTGAGGGAAATAGTAGGAAACAGGATGACGTCAAGCTCTTTGAGCTCAGCAAGTGCAACAAGAGCATTCCCATTTTTGGTTTTGTTTTTATTTTTGTTTTTGAGATGAAGAAAACTGCTGGAAGAGCAGGTGTGGAGGGGTGTGTGTGTTTGGCTTTGGGCATGTTAAGTTGAAGGTGCCCTTTAGACATCCGAGCAGAGATGTTGAGAGGAGGCCCTTGGGTATTCAATCTGGAATTTAGGAGGCAGATGTGGGCTGGATTCTACTTTTGGAAATCATCCCTTCTTTTCATCCCAGTGGCTGCTGCTGTAGATGAGGGTACCATGTATTGTCCTTTGGATTTCTGTAACGCCCTCTGTCCTGACCTTCTCCCATTTTACTTTTGCCACTCTTTGACTTCACTTTGAAAAGCCTGAGTTTTTTCTAAAATTCAATTCTTTTGATGTCTGTCTCATACTTCAACCTTGGTGGCTTCTCATTGCTTGGAGGGTAAAATCCAGACTTCTTAACCTGGCTTAAAAGGTCTTGCATGATGTGGTATCTGCTTAGTTTCTGGTGTCCTTTACTTCCACACAATATTCTCTGCTCTTGTTATTCTCACTTCTTTCTGTGCCCTTCAAGTTCTTGCACCATGAAACCTTCAAACAAACACTATCCTTCTGTTGTCTGATCCTTCCTCCTACCACCCCAAAACCTTCTCTCATACCTAACTCCTTTCCTCTTCCAAGCTTTTGATTAGGTTATCATTTATTACATGAAGACTGTCGCTGTTAAGAATGGGTTATGGGATTCTTATCAAAACATTGCAGACTTATCTATATATTGTAGTTGACATTTGCTTCGCATTCATCGCTATTGGTCTTTAATTCTGTGAGGCCAGGATGTCTCTGTTTTGTCTAACGTTGTATCTGTATTGCCTAGCACAGTCCCTTTTAATGGGTGCTTAATATTCATTTGAATGAAAGAATAAGTAAAGTTGCTGATTATAAAACATGTATGCAAAATTCAACAAAGTTTCTATATTCCAGCAGTAACTAGTTACAAAGTACAGTGGAAAGGGTAGAATTAACCAATCTCTCCACCTTCCATCCCCATACTTAAGAGTATAATTTAGATATACTTAGGACACCTAACACTAACAATGAATGTACGGGTTGCCTACAAAGAACACTGCTCTAAGTTGAATGATTATAAACGCATGTCATGTTGATGACTGGGAATTTTGAAAATTGTCAACATACCAAATCTTGAATTTATTTACAAATGTCTCATGAGTCAAATACAATTCAAATGAATTTTATTTCTGGAACTTTTGCATTACTCTAAAGTTCATGTGGAAAAATAAATGAGAAAAGGGAAGAAAGTTTAGAAGGGGAAGAAAAATAATTTGGACATTCAATTAAGATGTAGTACTTAGAACAGTGGAACAGAATTAGAAGCCCAGAAAAACAAGTATAGGACAAAAGTGTAATATAGAAGCAGTTGAGAAAGATGACTATTAATAAAATGATAGAGGTAATTACTTAATAAGTATTTTGAAAAATATAAAAGTTGATCCCTGTCTCACATTATGTACCAAAACATGTAATTATATTAGTCTTTTTTGATATAATGTAATTATAATGTGCCATCTTATATGTATGAAGATGCTTTTGGCAGCTATTTTCCCCAATAGTAGTGATTTATTTGTACATATCTAAAACACTTTGCTCCATTATTTTTTGTTATCAAGATCCTGATTTTGTAAATGACTGGCTTTGACCAGAAGTGCCATCTGTGGACACAAAGGAGAGGGAAGTTGATAGGATCACTATTGGTTCCAGCTCTTAATCTTGACTGTCCTATATCTTGTTGTAAGGACAGGTCATAGATTGATGTTTAGCATGATACATTTATTCTCTTATTTTTTACTAAGAATAGGGAGGTTAGATGCATTTGTTGCTTCTGAAACCCTCAGATAAAATAAGCTAAATATCAAATTTTGACTGTTTTCAAAGATTTGGAAACCAAATTATAAACCACCTACTCTTCCAGTTTAATAGGAGCTATATTTTTAAATAAGGGTGGTCTCTCAGACATAAAATAGCTGTGTGTGTGTGATTGCTTAGCATTCTTAGAGCTAACTTCTTAACCTACTTTAAGTGTAAGTATATTCATTTCTGTAATTGTGTCCCATATACTGTTCAAATGAGCTAAGTGTTCTCATTCTTGTACCCAGTGGTATTGGTTTCCATAATGCACATCAGTTTTGTTTTTGCTGTCAGACCTTCAAGTATCTACTCCGTTTTTCTAGCGTAAGAACCACTAGTGCCTATATCTAAAACAGTCTAGGTCTTGGGATATCTATTACTTTTATAACCATGTTATTTAAGAGAATAGTATCTTTTTTAGATTCTTTGATAATAGTTCACAACCTGTCCTTTTGCTGCTGAATGCCTGACTGATGTGGGTCTATCTTTGGTTTTACAGAGAGAAGAGAAGAGGAAGATTTTGAAGAGAAGAAGGCTATTAAGAAAAAAATTAAAGAGCTTAAATTTTTAGATTCTAAAATTGCCCAGAACCTTTGTACGTATGAAATTTCAATACTATCACATTAGTAAAACACTGGAGGTGGTTCCTGTAAATTATTTCATTTTCTTTATGACTTGTTTTTCATTTTTTTATTTTAATATTTTATTATTTGCATAATAACTTCAAAGATAATTCCTTCCCTTTAGGCAATTTATGGGTTAAATTCTTCAAAAACATATTAGAAAATAAAGCTAAGGAAAGTATTTAGAATGAAAATATGTCTTCTATAACGGGAAAAAAAAGCTACCCTTTGTCTAAGTATATAAATAACGAGTTAAGAAATTTAGGTGATGACATCATATTTTAAAAAGTGGTAACGGGTTATTTCTTTTATACCTCCGAATCTCTATTATTTTTGATACTTGATCACACACAAAAGAGGTTGGAATGTTAATGGAAATTAGGATGATGAGTAAAATGAATTCCATTATCCCATCTGAGCAATTGAAAGCCTTTCCTCAAAAGTAATGACTGGAAATATTTTAGATTTAATTACTGTTACAGGGGCTAAATACTTAGTATTGAATTGTCTCCCTGACTGAATTACTAGGAGGAGAAGAGAGCAAAGAGTTTTGCTTCTAACTCCTTTCTAACTGCAACTTGAATGCATCAAAGATAGTTTGCTTGGAACCGAGATAATACCATGTGTATAGATCACTTGCTAATGTTGTGATAGGAATCCAATGTGGAGAATCAAGAGTCATGGGAAGTTAGCATGGCTTCTAGTCTGCCTTTCCATTGCTACATGCCTCAAGAGAGCTTTTAGCAAGTACTGGGAACAAAAATTCTTTGGTAAGAGGCTAAAGATCCATGCTATGGATTAGAGAAGGAATTCTGTCGGAGGCAGTAAGTGTAAAGGACAGAGTTGACATTCCTTCTGTGCAGGTTGAGACCTCCATCCTTTCCTGCTTGCTATGACAGAGGGCCACCCCTTGTCTGCGTTGTGGATGCGCCATGATCCCCATGGACAGTGTGTAGATATTAATGTGATTGGCCAAGATACTACTCTCTTTGTGGGCACAAGTTGATTGCACATCCCTATGCTCTTGAAGGTAGATGTCGCCGTGTGACTTCTTGGGCCAATGACAGTGTAAGTGGAGATGAGGTAGCTTTCACATGGAAGCATTTATTGCTGGTGTGAGAAACTCCAGTGCTCTTTCCCCTGCACCCAGGATGGCCGGTCAAAGTGGTGTCCATCACCCTGATGTGAAGATTGTGTCAGGGCTCTTTCTGATGTGTAATGGACATGTAGTCTGAATTATAAATGATTTGTGGATGTGTATGTGTGTGCGAGCTTAGACTAAGATTTTGGGGACTGTTACATGATACAGGTATTTCAGGGAATTTTTGCCTTTAAAGGAACATTGATTTCAAAGCATTATTAACTTAGATAATGTCAAAAAGTTCTATTCTCTGTAATCTAAAAGAGAGTTTTTCTTGACAAGTGTCCATGTCTTGGCGTGACTGATTCCTAGGCTTAACTCTAAACAGCCTCATTAAGGGTCCTGAAGAAATACCATTTTATTTATTTATTTACCTAAAGTTTTTATTTATTCATTTGAGAGAGCAAGAGAGTGTGTGCACATGAGCAGGGGCAGAGGGAGAGGGACAGGCCGACTCCCGTGGAGCAGAGCCATAGGACCCTCAGATCATGACCTGAGCCAAAGTCAAATGCCTAACCAACTGAACCACCCAGGCACCCCAAGAAGTAGCATTTTTAATAGAATTCTTTTCAGATGGGTCAGCCATGATAAGTTGGTATAAATATTCATCTCAAAGTTGAATAGTTGAATTTGGTATTATTTATATGTAATAGAACATGTGCTAAATGATATTTCAAATGTAATAATGGCTAATAATTACTGATTACCTTTATAATCTAGTTCTGTATTTGGCCCTTTAATCTCTACTACAACCCTATCACATAGGTAGTAAGTAGCATGACGTTACGGATGGGTATAGCAGTTCAGTGACTTGAAGAAGATTGCTTATTTTGAAAATGGTCAGTAGATATAGGTTATACTATTCCTGTTTAGAGATAACAAAATCATATTATACAGAGGATATTAGTTTTTTGTTGTTATTGTTTTAGCTAGAGGATATATATCCATCCAATTAATTGTAAACACATTTTAAAGTATCAGATCGAAAAGTCCAGAATTTAAACCATGTCGTATTATGATGTAATCCATTTCTGGATTCTTCTTGACCTCTTTGATTGTAGCAAGTGTTACGATTTAAACTTTAAGAAGCTTTAGCAACCTATAATCTTGACCGTAATTATAGTCTGATTCACAGCTGGTTTTTGTCTGTGAAATTCAGTCTTTTGAGATACTGAATTCTGAAAAGAGTCTTGTGATAGTGACAAGACTCTCTATGTTGTCACTTGGAAATCAGATACTTTCTCTTAGATTTCTCTTAACTGAAATATTTGATAGAATTTTGAGCAAAGGATCTAAAATATACTCCTTTATTTACCTATTGATTCAAGGGTGTTTTAGGTTCTCCCTGTATTTGAGGTCATAAAGGGTTTGGCAGAGACCCTGGGCTCAGCCTAAAAGGTAGAATTCTAGCCACTCCAGCTCAAGAGATGCCTTAGGAGTTGTACAAGGATCATATGCTTTACCAGATTTTTGGAGTATTAGAGCTCTAAAGGGAGGAACCCTGGAATCTATGAATTAATGTAAAGGTTTAAATATTTATAAGTTCCCTTGAAGAAAACATGTGTGACTGGTTCCAAAATCTGCACACGTTACACTTCTTCACTGAACTCAGAACTGCCCAGTGGGAGCTATATAATCACATTTTGAAGGATAAGATGCATGTTAGTAAAAATATTCACTTTAATGATCTCACTGATATGAGGAATTCTTAATTGTAGGAAACAAACTGAGGGTTGCTGGAGTGGGGGGTGGGGTGGGAGGGATGGGGTGACTGGGTGATAGACACTCGGGAGGGTATGTGCTCTGGTAAGCGCTGTGAATTGTGCAAGACTGTTGAATCTCAGATCTGTACCTCTGAAACAAATAATGCAATATATGTTAAGAAAAAAAAGAAGAAGAAGAAGAAGAAGGTAGCGGGAGGGGAAGAATGAAGCGGGGGAAATCAGAGGGGTAGACGAACCATGAGAGACGATGGACTCTGAAAAACAAACAGGGTTCTAGAGGGGAGGGGGGTGGGAGGACGGGTTAGCCTGGTGGTGGGTACTGAGGAGGGCACATTCTGCATGGAGCACTGGGTGTTATGCACAAACAATGAATCATGGAACACTTCATCTAAAACTAATGATGTAATGTATGGGGATTAACATAAGAATAAAAAAAAGAAAAAAAATATTCACTTTAATGGGTCTTTTGGAGGCTTTAAATGAGTATCTCATATTCTCAGTAACTTTTTTTTTTTTTTTTAAAGATTTTATTTATTTATTTGAGACAGAGAGAATGAGAGACAGAGAGCATGAAAGGGAGGAGGGTCAGAGGGAGAAGCAGACTCCCTGCCGAGCAGGGAGCCTGATGCGGGACTCGATCCCGGGACTCCAGGATCATGACCTGAGCCGAAGGCAGTCGCTTAACCAACTGAGCCACCCAGGCGCCCTCTTAGTAACTTTTAATTTGTTTTTTTAAGGTCTAGGTTTGTCTTCTGAATTGTGTGTTATGCACTAGGCCATTTTCAACTCTTCTTTTTTTTTTTTTTTTACCCTTTGAGCAAATGTTTTCCTAAAACCTTATTCATAAGCTATAAAAACAACATAGTTCAGTCTTTATAAATATAGGTATTTGATGTGCATGTTATTTTATTTTTTATTTTTATTTTTATTTTTTTTAAAGATTTTATTTATTTGACAGAGAGAGACACAGCAAGAGAGGGAACACAAGCAGGGGGAGTGGGAGAGGGAGAAGCAGGCTTCCTGCGGAGCAGGGAGCCTGATGCGGGGCTCGATCCCAGGACACTGGGATCATGACCTGAGCCGAAGGCAGACGCTTAACGACTGAGCCACCCAGGCGCCCGTGCATGTTATTTTAACTATATAATAATTAATACCAGAAAGCAGTGGGTAAATTACAAATATAGAAGAAAGTCAAGGAATAAATTATGTCTATTTGCAAAGTAAACTCTTCTGTTAACCTTTTATCTTTTTTATATATGTTACTATATTCATTATGCATGTTGTATTATTTATGTTTATTCATATTTATATACTTTAAAAGTGTGTGAGATCATAGAAGGTTTTTATCTGCAAATTTTTTTCATCTCCAAGACCATCTTCACTTTGGACACTAGCAAGTTTGGGGGTCCCCAAGACCACTCTTAAGTATGATAATTTGTTAGAAGGACTCACAGAACTGACTGAAAGCTATTTGACTCATGCTTAAACGATACAGATTAAAATCAGCAAGGAAAGACGTACATGGGGCAGAGTCCAGGAGAGTTCTGAGGGTGAAGTTTTCAGCCATGGACAGCTCTAGCTTCCCCTGGCAATGATGAATACTCATACGCACGGATTATTGCCAACTGGGGAGGCTCACTTAAGCCTTGGTGTCCACCATTTTTACTAGGTCTTGGTAATGGGTGAACCCCTGCACGACTGACTTTAGTTTTCAGACCCTCGAGAGGTCAGGCTAATACAGTGACCCAAAGCCCCCACCATAAATCACATTATTAGCATAGACTGTCTAGTGTGGCCCAGTGCCCCCGGTAAACAAAGACACTCTTAATCCCACAGGACATTCTCAGGGCTTTTGAGAGAAGCTCACAGGAGCCAGACTTTGCTTGAGTAAGCTTAATGCTTTACCCACAGTCTATGCCACCTTTTTTTCCCCATGCGTTTTTGTTTTCATATTATTCTTTTAACATTTTTTTAATTGAATAGTTATGACATATTATACAGGAGTGAATATGTAAATACATGTTACAGTTTAATGATATAAATCAAACACCCACAGCTAAAGAAACAGAAGATGACTAATACTTTAGAGACTTAAATATTACCTTTTCCCATTTTACCTCCCTTCCTATGCGAAGTATCGTTATCTTAAATCTTGGTTTAAATATTTCCTTCCTTTTCTTTATAGTTTTACCAACCATGTACATATTCCTAAATAAGTTGTTTGGTTTTGACCGACTTTGAATTGTACATAAATAAAATCATACCTTATTAATGCATCTAGCTGCAGTATATTCATTTTTATTGCAGTTTTAATAACATGCTTTGAATGTTATACTTGATTCATTTAACCCTTGGTTGACTCTTGGGTGGTTTCCCATTTTTGGTTTTACTGAGACAGGGTGCGGCAAACTATGGCCCTCAGGCTAAATCTTGCTTTTCCCAGTTTGTTGAAACGCAGTCTGTTGGAACTTAGCCAGGACATCTGACCGTATACCGTCCATGGCTGTTTCTGTGCTACACTAGCAGAGTTGACTGGTTGTGACAGAGACTCTGTCGGGCTTAAAAACCTAAAATAGTTACTATTGTTTCTCTTAGCAGAAACAGGTGACTGCCTGCTCGAGGTATATACTGTTCTGTGTCTGTACCAAATGTATTCTGCCACCATCAGTGCTTGAAATGTTCCCCCTTCCCAACCTTACCAGCGCCATGTGTTTTATAAGGATCTATAAACCAATGTGGTTTTAAAAACCAATTCTATTTGGGATTGGTTCGGTCTTCTTATTGTGATGATTTGTATCTCTCTATAATTCTGGAAAATTCTGACATTTTCTCTTCAGATAAGATTTTCTTCATTTGTGTACTTTTTGTGATTGCCTTTTGCAACTCCAAGTAGACATTTTAAGGTACTTTATTCCTCTTCTGTGTCTCTTAACCTAGTATTTTCCCATCTCTTTAAATTTGTGTTTTGGATTGCTTCTTTGCCTATGTCTTTGATGTCCTCAGTTTTCTCTTTATCTGACGTCTGATCCATAGGTTGAGTTTTTAATGTCAGGAGTTTAATATATATATTATATATATAGTAGCTTAATATATTTATGTATATATAAATTTTTAAAATTTTTTTATGAAATTTTTTTTCTAATTTCCAAGTCGCCCCCCCCCCCCAATCTTGTTTCTTCTTAGTAATCTTTTTCTTTTTTTTCCTGGCCATTATTTCGAACTTCCATTTTTTAAAATATTTTTTCTCCCGGGATTTCTATTTCCCTTCCTTTCAGGACAGCTTAGAAATGAATTTAGGATTTACACACACACACGTACACGCACATATGTATGTTTTTTAGATATTTCAAGGTTTTATTTTTTTTTCTTGAAGTATAGTTGGTGCACAATGTTTGATTAGTTTCAGTTGTACAATGGAGTGATTGGAGAGCTCTATACCTTATGCTATGCAAAGGGTATTTCTTGATTAAGATAAAAAATATCCTTTTCAGGATGGAGGAGATAGATGTTTCAAGGGCATTTCTCCACTTTGCCATAATGACTAAAGTATATAAAAGTATATATTTTTTCCTCTCAACGACTATATTATGCTTCAGAGTATTTATTCTTTGATCTTTGTATTTAATGTTATAATCTTTCCTATATTTCCATGTTGTATCCATAGACTAGGTTTCTTGAGTGAGATTTATTGCTTCTCAAAGGAAATTAATAATTTCAAAGATTGCTTAATCTTACTAAATTTACAATTCAGGTATGTTTTAACAATTTGCCTTTTCAGTTTGCTTACTCCTAAGGTTTAACATATTACTTTTTTTTTTTTTGTCTTTTTTCCCTTTTATTTAAGGCTACGTACATTTTGCTCATTTTCTTTCTTAGATCTCAGGATATTCTAAATGAAGAAAAAACAAATGCATTCAATCTTGACGCAGATTTATCCCCTCAGCTTCCTTGCTTTTTAATTGTTTTGGTGCTTTTTTTTTTTTTTTAAGATTTTATTTATTTATTTGAGAGAGAGAGGGGGGAGTGGGAGAGGGAGAAGCAGACTCCCTGCTGAGCAGGGAGCCCGATGCAGGACTCGATCCCGGGACTCCAGGATCATGACCTGAGCCGAAGGCAGTTGCTTAACCAACTGAGCCACCCAGGCGCCCTGTTTTGGTGCTTTGATGGTGTTTCCCTTTTATGGTGTCAGATATCAGTCTTTTCATATATTTTCCATCAACTTTTATGATTAAGATATTCTCTTACCATAAAGGAGCTAAATGGACATGTGAAATTTCTTTTAGTATTTGTTTTTGTTAATATTTACATTTAATTCTACAATCATATACAACTTGTTTTGTACATGGTCTATGGATTTAGATCTTCTCTTCCCATTACTTACTGATGATTTTTTTGAGATCATATATTTTTGTGCTTTTTAGTGTCCACTATGGGGTTATCCTCTTATAATTTCATTAATCTCTGTTGCAATAGCATTTATATCATTCATTCCATCTTGTTGGGATATTAAGGATTATACCCATCCATAATTTCTAGCACTGTTATCCCATATTTATGACTGTTTGAGTTCAGAAATGTGTCCGTGAAGCTGGTGATGAGAACACAGATGGTGCCCTTGTTGCTTATTTGTAGATGATCTATGGAATCCTCAGGTATATGGAATACAGCTTTCAGGAAAGAAGTAGATCATGTTTTCTCAATCTTGTAAAAAATGCTGTTTTTCTATGAAAATGCCTACAGACAACATGACGTAAGTTTAGCATCTAAATTAGTGGGCTAGTGGTAGCAAATTCTGAGTATGTTCAAGAAGTGACATCTGTCACTGAAGAAGAGACATTAATAGTAGAATAAGGGAGAAAATAGCAAAAGCCTTGAATCTAATACTGTGAAAATATCCTTATTTACCTCAATAGCTTTTGAGAAGATCGTTGTGTTTTAATATTAGATATATGAGGTATTAGAAAAAAATGTAAATGTTGAAATTCTTAGTAATTTTATCCAATCTATATTGGATATATTATCCAATCTAATCTATTTGGATAGCTTTTCAGGAAAATTTGTTTTCTAATATTGGATATTCAAGCTTTAGTTACATGCAGAGGCTATTTTTCTGGGATATTGTCTACAATATTTTGAAACAGGGAAGTGCTATTATAACTTAAAATAGTGTTAATGCACTACTTAGCAGTTTTCTTAAAATATTTTTTGTGAACTACTTAGTAGGGCTGGAAGATATTATACAAGCTAAAAACACACGTTTAGACAAATATTACATGTGCATCTTGGAGTTTCATGGTTCTTTTTATTACAATGTGATATTTTTATGGCATACCAAATATATTTCAGGTTTTTTTTTTTTAATCACATGAAAATTGGCACCATTCCGTGATAGGCTAATGATTAAGCATTAAAAATCAACCTTGTAACCAGCATAATAATAAAGGACTGTTGCTTAAATAGTAGTTCTAAAGCTAGAATAGAAAAAGTGCTAATGAACCTTTCCCCCATTGTAATTACATTCAGTGTTTAAAGTTTCTCATTTTATGGATTATTTTTTATAGAGAACTACATCTCAAATTATTTTCTTCACTTACTCATCATGAACCTCTCCCTCCTCCTCTTAGCAATCTTCCTGAGCTCTTTTCGGGTGCCATATGAGGAAATCAAAATGATGATACTGGAAGTGGATGAAACACAGTTGGCAGAGTCTATGATTCAGGTAAATAAACTGGCAGAGAGCTTAAATTCCAATATTTCATTGCAAGCTTCTCATTAAATAGAAATCTGTAAGTGAAGCAAAATTCTTAAACCAAATCATTCAACTGGAAAATCATTGCTGCATAATTAGTTTTAGCATAACTTCTGCTTTGCCAGGAGATAAAACTCTGCATCTTCTCTTAACTGCAAACCAAATATAACGCTATCAAAATGATTACATTTCAATTATTTTAAATGACTGTTTCTGAAAGGCGAATTGTTTAATTTTATATATATGTTTTTGTTTTGGTTACAGTTAAGATTAGTAATATGTTAATTAAAATTTATTTGTATAATCCTTTTAGAATATGTTTTTCTTAGACTTTTGTCTTATAAAGTCATATTATGATTTGATATAGAAGACAGAGGGTAACTTTATTTAAAGTTATCTTTTATTAACAACCCTTCCTTGAGTCATTTGTGTTCCTACAAGTACTAGAAATTGTGGGCATAGCATTCTGAATTCATTCAGGCGGCTGCGAGGTTTTTTAAATGGTTTTTACCCACAGTAGTACTTAAGGAATGCTAGTGTGGTACCAGAGTTGCTTGCTGAAATCCACATAAGGCATCAATAATGAATATCTTGATAAAATGTAAAGTCAGCGAATCAAACCACAAATCATATAGTGAGAGAATAATATCTTCTGTTTACTATCTTTCATTCTTATAATGGATGTACTTAGAAAAAGGATTTTTTTAGCAATAAAAAGAAACCAGAGATTGTTAGTGTCAACACATGTTTAAAATTATTTTAGACATTTAATCCATCAGTTGATGGTATCTTTAGCAGCCTTTGGTTTTGCCTCTCCTACCTTGTCTTCCCAATGTGGTTGTGACATAATCCCAGTAGGAGTTTGCGTTGTGAGTCGCTGAGACACTCAAACAATGTAATCCAGTAACTTTTGAAGCCTTCATTCTCTAGCACTTTCTTTTTACTAGATTTTTGTCTTTGTGACTGTTGATTATAAATGTGCCTTGTTGTTGGGAGTAGACTTCAAGTTCCTTAGAGAAAATATTTCTACTTAATACATATGGGTATTTTTCCTAATGCATTTGTTGAGTATTTACAGAGTAGCTTTTAACTTGATTACATGAATGTGTTGGATGTTCAGGTGGCTCTTGGACAGAGATGGGGGAAGAATTTGGATTTTTAAAATTCATGTCCAAAGATCATCCAGTTCCGTAAAATTTCTTAATATATTAGTTTTCTATTGCTGCTGTAACAGTTTACCACAACTTTAGTTGCTGAAAATAACACAGATGTATCAGCCTACATTTCTATTGAACAGAAATCTGGCGTGTGTCTTACCATGCTAAAGTCAAGGTGTTGGCAGGCTTGCATTCTTTTCTATAGGATTTAGAAAAAAATCTTTGTCTTTTCCTGGCTCCTCATGGCTGCCCACATTCCTTGGCTTGGGACACGTTTCTTCAACTTTGAAGCAATGTTGCCTCTCTTCTTTCTTTCATAATTACATCTTCCTCTCGCTCCATTGTTCTCTCTCCCTCTTCCACTTTTAAGAACCTTTGTGGTTACGTTCAGCAGTTCAGATAATCCAGAAAAATTTTCCTATTTTAAGGTCAGCTGATAACAATCCTGATTTCCCTTTGCCATGTAATCTAATATTTCCACAAGTTCTTGGGATTAGGTGTGGACATCTTGGGGGATGTGGTTTAGGTCATCTTTTGCCTACCACACCTACGAAATATAAAACAATTTTTAGGAGTTTAAAATCTAAAGACTTAGTTTGAACTTTTATAGATTGATTAAAAAATAAGACTTTCGGGTGCCTGGGTGGCTCAGTCGTTAAGCGTCTGCCTTCGGCTCAGGTCATGATCCCAGGGTCCTGGGATCGAGTCCCACATCGGGCTCCCTGCTCGGCAGGAAGCCTGCTTCTCGCTCTCCCACTCCCCCTGCTTGTGTTCCTGCTCTCACTCTCTCTCTCTCTGTCAAATAAATAAATAAAATCTTTAAAAAAAAAATAAGACTTTCATGCTCTTTGAAGTCTTATTTTAATTTTAAAAATATATTCCTTTTTTTTTTTTAAAGATTTTATTTATTTATTTGAGAGAGAATGAGAGACAGAGAGCACGAGAGGGAAGAGGGCAGAGGGAGAAGCAGACCACCTGCTGAGCAGGGAGCCCGATGTGGGACTCGATCCCGGGACTCCAGGATCATGACCTGAGCCGAAGGCAGTCGCTTAACCAACTGAGCCACCCAGGCGCCCTAAAAATATATTCCTAATTGTAAAGTGAAGCACTGCCAATTTTGAACACGGCATGGAAAAAAAAACATTACTTGATAATAATCACCATTTTGGTAAGCTCTGTTCACAGTCATAACTTTATTTTGGCGTATCTTGTTACGTATTCATATATAACCAGATATCAGTAGTATGCTGTTTTTGATGTCAGCTCTCTGCCTCATTCTTTACCCACTTGCCTTCATTTGTCTTCTAGTAATTAATTCGTTATTTTATTATACCCACCATGTGCAGGGCATGATGTCAGGCTCTATTAGGCATGGATTTTACCTTTTTGGAATTTCTAGTTTGGCAAGGGAAATGACATTTACCTATATAATTACAAGATAAACATGATTGGATCAAGAGTTTATTTATTTATTTATTTAGAATTAGAGGGTGTGTTAGGGGAGCGCTGTGCCATGTGTGGAGGTGAGGGTATTTACATGTGTGCATGTGTGGAGGTGAGCATTCTGCAGGGTTGGATACAGTATGGATGTAGAAAAGGCAGTAGCGCTGTGTGAGTAATGTAGCAGGGGTCAGTTATTCTGGCCCTAATAATTCCCTGTGCCATGAGGGAAGAGTTTGGGGCAGGCGGCAACTGCAAAGAGTTTAGTTTGATAGGACCTTAGGATTTGTGAAAGGATGGTGAATTTGGTAAAGGGAGGGACAAGGGAAATTGGGCCTATATTCTTACAAATCATAGTAGTTTCATTACTTTACAAAGTAAAACTAAGCAAGTGAAAAATTAATAAATTCATGATAAAAGATTAATTATATGTTAACTACAGATATTTAAGGGGATTTGATGGTCATCTAAAAGGATACTGAAGAAATTCAGAGGCCTGATTAGTAAATAACTCACATAATCCAGCTGTCAGCTAGAATGGTTGAAAGAAGCATAAATAACCAGGTCTTTGGGCCTCAGGCAATTTTAATAAGAGAAATTTCTATTTATATGGAAAAATCCTCTATTGCTTTTATTCAGTTGGTAGTATTAACAGTGAATTCTTTTTTAGGGATTATCTTAAATTGCCCCTTTTTTTGTTTGTTTTTGGCCAGTCAACCAAGTTTTTGTCCAAAGGTACACAGTGAGTCCAAAAACTTGTTCTTTGATCTAACTACTTTGATATATAACATTCTCTAACATTATTTTTAACTAATGACACGTTTGGGGGAGTTTTTCCCCATAAATATATATAGCATGATGTAGGCTTAATTATAACTTGTACTTGACTTTGGGCTTGTACAGAGTATACTGACGCTATTATCTGGAGTTGTGAGCACCAACCACTCTGTTTCTTAACTTTAATATCAGGACACTAATTTGTTTATAACACTATTATAGTCAATTATATTTTGACACAGAGGATCTGTATAGACTTTGTCCCCAGGATTGTGTAATCATTAAAATTCTAACAGGGAAGACAATTTGTGTGTTTATTTGGTCTTTCTCCATTGGGAGTGTTTCTCTTGTCTAAATGTGTGGCATGGGAAAGGCCATGGATAAAAGGAGCCAGAATAACCGAGAACCTGTGGTTTCTGGACTGCAGGTGATAAAGGCCAAAGGCCATGGGCACTTAAGTTCCTAAAGGTTATCTCTATAAGCTTTTTATCTGCAAAGTATATCATTCTGTGTCTTCAGTGTCTTTTCAAGTTTTCTTTCCCATCAGGAAAGTTAGTCTTTGTTTTAGAGATACTTTAATTTTTATTATTAAAACTGTAAATCATGTTCATTAAATCTTGCAAGCACTTTCATTAAAATTCCCCGAATTTCATTTCTTTCTCTTGCCTTTTAGTAGCAATATGATAATTCCTTTTATCCCCTCGAATGAAGTGTTAAAATGTTTGGCTTTGACTGAAATTTCTGACATTTAATTCCCTAAAGCTGAACTGTGATTGATCACATTTACCCAGGTGAGAAAGCTGTTCCTTTGGTGTAGGTTGAGTTTTTCTTTCTCAGTTTTATAGTTAAGTGGCGCTTGATTTGAATATATAACTCTAGAGAGAAGAGAGGAAAATTGACTGCTTTCCAGATGCAGAGAATGTAGTGTAAGGCTGAGTACAAGGCTGAGGTTACCTAATAAAAGTAAAGATTGACTTTTTCAGTGGTTTCTTTCCCATAGTCGATTAATAAATCTTTCTAGATTTCAAGAAGCACATTTAGTGAAGATATTTTCTTGTGGTTTTAATTTTTAGAACCTAATAAAGCATCTTCCTGATCAAGAACAATTAAGTTCATTGTCTCAGTTCAAGAGTGACTATAACAACCTATGTGAACCTGAGCAGTTTGCTGTTGTGGTAAGTACCATCCATCTCTCAGCATTAGCTCTCCTGGGTGGGGATTTTTATACTGTGCCACACAGGAAAGAACTGTCAGACCTTTTCACATCAGGATTGTTTTATAAACCTTTAATGTCCATCTTGTCTTTTTTTTTTTTTTTAACCTAAGGATATTTATGGAAAATTATCTTGATTTCAAATATATATATTGAAACTGTAGCCTTAAAGAAAGTCCAAGGAGTTTTTTAAAGTATAAACTTGATTTTTTTGCATGTGTTCTCTATTTCATGTCAAAATGTAAGATGAAAACTGCACTCCTATGGCAGACGAGTATATTTATGATTTATTCTGGAGCTACATATTCCAACATACTGCAAGAGTAGCTTCAGTTTCTTGTTCTATCGCTCACCTCTGTTCATCTCCTGTTTTAGACTGTGGAATTAGAAATACAGTCTCCTTCTTGGCAATGAGGATGAAAAGTGAATACCTTTTTAAAAAAAATCTTTGAGACCCCTTGATAATCATCTTGTTCCAGCCTCCTATCTTACGGAAGTTGGGGTCAGAAGAGGTGAAAATACGTGCCAATGTTACATATTAGCTGAGTTGCAACTTTATCAACCTTTCTTTCTTCTCTTCTTTTTTCCTATCATTAAATTATCATTTTGAGGTTGGTTACATTCAGTCATTATGACAATACTTTAGTGTTTCATTTCTTTTTATTTTTTTTTTAAGATTTTATTTATTTAGGAGAGAGAGAGCGAGAGAGAGAAACAAGCAGGGGGAGGGGCAGAGGCAGAGGGAGAAAGAGACTCTCTGCTGATTGGGGAGTCTGACCTGGGGCTCGATCCCAGGACCCTGGGATCATAACCTGAGCTGAAGGCAGATGCTTAACTGACTGAGCCACCCAGGCGCCCCCATTTTTTTTATATGTAAGATTATTTTTTTCCCTTTTATCTTCAGTTCTATTACCAACCTCCAGGGATATGATGGAATTGTATTTGATATAATTTTGGAAATTTGGGTTGGCTAACCAAAGGACTGTCTGCATACCATATTTTGCATGTTGTAGGCATTTGCTCTTAAACTACTTCCTGTTTCTTCATAAACCCATTCTCCTCACCCCTCTCCACAGCACCTGCCCCCTTCCTGAGTTCACAAAACGCTGATTAGAACACAGAAGTGGGAGGGGGAAGCAGGGTTTTTCCTATTTATAGTCTTATAAGTTTGATTATAAAACCTTTTAACTGATTTTCTTTACAAAAATGTTATTCTTTTTTTTTTTAACCCAATTCTCCAGGGTATCATGTTCTCTTCTCTTTTTCACTTTCTTTTGTATTTCTTTGTTTGCTTTATATTCTTTTACCGGATCACGTTGTCTTTCTTTTGATCCCTATTTGATGCTCTACCTGCACTGTCTTCCATTGGGAATAAGTGAGTAAGGGAGAATTTGCATTAAATTTTTAACCACAGACTTTTTTGCCCATCTTTTTTTGATTCTTGAAGACTACAAAATGTAAAATTACAGTTTTAAAATATTTCCCATTCACATTAAATCTGAAACACATACAAGCTTATGTTAAAATGCCTATTTAGCCAGTAACTTTTTACATTGTACATAATCACAGAAAAAATGTAAAACGCTTGCCATGTTTTAGTGATTTTCACAGAAGAATGAGTTCAAACTTGCAGTTATTTTAGTGTATTTAAAATAGCCAGGTTATGTCCTCCATCGAAAATCTGGAGTTCACATCAAAGAGCCATGATTTATAAGCGGTGTTATTGTAGGGGTCAGAAAGTTAAAACAATTATACTTCCAGATACTAGTGCTAGAGGTTATAGTTTTGATTTTAAGACAGAGATGGACCACTTCCATTTCAGGACATGTCAACTCAAACTTGACCTTGAATCTTGACATTCCATGCCGGGTCATACCTGACTGCAAATGGAATTTAATGTAGAAAGAGTAATGCTATTGAAAAACATCTGTTATAGACAATATGAACAGTGCTTTATCATATGTTGATTGTGAATATTCTTGAACACATTTTTGTAAGTTCTAGTTTGTGTGGTACTGACATTTTAAGACATAATTACTTTCATGAAGAAAGGAGAAAGAAAGTTGAGGAAAATACAGTGTGTGTGTATGTGTGTGTGTATATATATATTTTTTGTCAAATAATAATATTCTTCAACTTTACCTTCTTCCCTTGCAAGTTTTCACCATTCCCAATCTGTCTTCCTCTACTTCTCAGACACCTACCCCCACCAAAAAGGGGGAAACCTACTTAAAGTTCTAAACAATACTTGAGAATTACCAAAAAAAAATGATGGACAAAAATTATAGAGCAGTGTGGAATGCCTGGAGTTTTTTGTTCTTTCTGGAATAAACGCTCAATATTAAGTTTCTTTAAAAAGTGGTATGTTTTCAGTTTATCAAGATTATGTAAGATGATTTAGTAGTTTTAGGAAACTGATTATAATTATCATGTGTATTTCTGTGATTTCCATTATACTGTTTCATTTTTAAAGTAATAAACTTAATTATGTTTGTATCAAAGATGGGCTATTACCTTGAGGTAAGCTAAACTGCAGATTCCTATTACTTTGATCTTTTAGAAAAACATTTACTTATTGACTAAACTTAGATTTAAAGTACTAATCATTTCTACCTAAAAACCATCAATGTATCACAGACAAGGAATAGGGAAGGGTTAGGGTAGCCTTTGCACCCCCAAATGAGGCCAACATTTGCTTTTTCATTTTCACCCAAGAGAGACTTACTTTTAGCTCTGTATCGTATTCCAGTTCTGTAGCCTGATAGTGATTTCTATATTGTTTTCATTTTAACAAAAATCAATTAAGGGTAGCTCAGCCCGTTAGGCATCCAACTCTTGGTTATGGTCTCGGGGTCATGAGATCAAGTGCCACATCAGGCTTCGCACTGGGTGTGGAGCCTGTTTAAGATTCTCTTTCTCCCTACCCCCTTCTTCTTGCTCTCTCGCTCCACTAAAAAAAAAAAAAAAAAAAACCGTTAAAACTCTACAGTTAAATTATTTGCCAGTTTAACTTTTTCTTTCATCCAGTTATATAAATTTACTAATTTGATTCATGTGAATTACAGATTTCTCAGAAAAGGTGTGTTCCATTTCAACAAACATCAAAATTTGATACGATAGTCATTATAGTTGTTTGCATTATATAATCAACCTTAATTCCACTAAAGAATTTTGTAAAACAATAAACAAAAAGCAAATCCACCAGGACACTGGCATTTGTTTACATTATTTTCTCTTTGATAGAAAGGCAGTGTGCAAAAGTGACACATTCAAAATGCTAGTAACCAATGTCCATTGAAGACCAATTTGAATATATAAGACATAACATGTAAATTAGAAATGTTTTACTTTTGTCATGTATTACTTAGATACAACGTTTTAGAACACTATATCCTATATAGAGTGTGTTATACAAATAGACTATTGAGAAATACTATGCCAATATTCATTGGATTGTATGTCCCTGAAGTTTTCTTTCTTTTTTTTATATTTTTTTAATTTAAATTCAATCAGTTAACATTAATGTGTATTATTGGTTTCAGAGGTAGAGGTCAGTGATTCATCAGTCTTATATAATACCCAGTGCTCATCACATCACGTGCCCTCCTTAATGTCCATCACCTAGTTAGTTAGCCCATCTCCCAGCCTGCACCCCGCCCCCCCCCCCCCCCCCCGCCCAAGCAACACTCTTTCCTGTGATTAAGAGTCACTTATGGTTTTTCTCTCTCTGATTTCGTCTTGTTTTATGTTTCCCCTATGGTCCTCTGTTTTGTTTCTTAAATTCCACTTGAGTGAGATCATATAATTGTCTTTTTCTGATTGACTTTGATATGTGTGTATTCTTTCCAGGTTTTCTATAATATAGTATTTCATATGCACTTTATTTCTCCGTTGAAATTGGAAACAAAATTTTTTAATGCAGATACTATCACTATTCAAAAAAAAAGTTTTTAATGCATGAATACTAGATACAGGTACTTTTATGCCTTGAAGGGTTTAGTCATTCATCTGTTACTTTTAATAATTCAGAGTCTTGAGGTACCTTCTTGAACTAATTCTCCCTGCAATCTTTATGACTTGGACCTTGGCCAGCTGAGCAGGACAGTTGTTAGGTGTTCTGGAGCTGGTCCTGTCTGTGCTCTGTAGTCTAGTTGTGATGGTGACATTGGTGGTGGTTGGTGGCCTGTTACCTTTTGGAATTGATCCTCTGGTGCTATGCATCCAGGGTCTAATGGTTTAATGATACTATTAAGTTGTTTCTGTAGCTGAGTAGAGTATACTTATATGTCCTATGTTTTCTGGGAGATTTTGACATATGAAAGATAATATCCCTTCAAAAATGTGAAACTGTTACCATTTAATACTGAGGGACTAAAGGTTCTAGTCAAATGGTATTTTAAAGGAGTGCTGCGGGAGGTGGTCTATCTCTGTATCTTTTTGTGTGACTTGAATGAGACCATTTGCATGCTGATTTTATTTGTTGGTTTAGGTTCTGGGCAGAGGACATTGAATACTAACTGTGCCTAATTTGAAATATTCTTTTTCCTGGGCAGTTCAGGACTCTTTTTATTGTTGAGAAATCAGTTTATATTTGGTAGGCCCTCTCCTCATGCTTTATTCAACTTTATTTTCTATCAATAAGTGAAGTGAAAATATACCTGCCTCTTTTCTTGGATTCCTTCCTTCCCTCTTCAGCTCTAACACCTCCTCACTTATCCTCCCAAAATATTGCCTACTTATCAAACCTGATTTTAGTTGTATGACTATTTTTTTTTTTATATTTGCAGTTTCTTTGATCAGTAAACCATTAGGTAAAATCACTGTTCTCACAGTATCATGATTTAACTGTGGGAGAAATGAGACATGTGAATAGTCAGTGGGATCAGAAGATGAGCTGAAGTTTGGAAAAATGCCTAAAAATTTGCAATTAGAAACTTGGTGCAGTAGACTTCCTTTGATTAA